TACTTGAATAAGCTAAGTATATATTAGTAATATATTTTCAAGATAAATTAAGATCATATTTTAATTTATTAAATATGCTTATATAGAATACTATATGATACTGTCAGGTTTTTATATATATGGATGTGAAGGCAAGATTCTTTACAGTAGGTGTCTGAGACCTGTTGGCGATAAATTTCAACAATAAACGGACAGTCCACAATCCACTTTTTTTAAACAAATATATTCAAAACAAGTCAAACATATGTACAAAAATTCGTTACACTATTGGTTATCATAATTGTATCCAGAGCTTTAAATAAGTCTCTTTTATGTCAAAAGTCCACTCAGGCGGGTTCAGTTACTTTAGAACCTAATTGATAAGATGAATTATTATTTTCTACTCTGTTGTTACAATACAATCTGCGATTATTACTCTTTAAAAGTCGCCACTATACACTCTTTTCGGCTAAACTCACGATAATGCAGTCTAGCTTCATCTTAGTTGCACTTGCAATAATTTGTTCGCTTATATATATCGACTGAGACCTAGAACTTTCTACAAACTAAAAGACGCTGTGATGTAACAATACTCACTTAAAGCAACGAAAAAAATACAGAAGGTTCGAGTAACATGACGTCAATTCACAAGAGTTGAAATACACACCTAATGATATTTAAATAGTTACGTAAGCAAACTATCGCTTCTAAAAATAACTTAATTTAACTTTTATACAGTATAAGCTAAATAATGCTCTCGTATTAACTTTAAAATGAACAGTCGTGTATATCTAATAGATACTTAATAATAATCTAAATAAAATTAAACAAAATTTGTGTAAATTGAGCAAACTATAAGCTGTAAAAATAGGTCTAGTGATAATAATCTGTATAATCTTTATGTACAGATAACTGTGTGTATGTTAATATTACACTAAGAACTAAGTTTAATTGTTAGTTAGTAATATCATAGTCTTTTGATATTCTTTCTATGTTGAAAGTAATGCATTCTCTTCTTGATTATTTATAATATTGTTTTTTACATATCCCACGAATAATTTTCAGACTTATTCTAACTATAACGTGGATCTCAATTTTCTTGTTACTTTTACGAAGTTACTTTTCTTATTACCTCCTACTTATCTTTAGAGGTGAAACAAGTTTTCAACACTGATAATGATATGCTAGTTAGAGAAGTTTATTAGGGTGAGTTTAATTTTTTCAAACAATTAATATATAAAGGACTTTGTTCATTTGAAGTTCGTTGTTTTAAAAAACTTACAGATTTTTATATCACCTTTGTCTTTGTGTAGTCTATATGATGTATAATATATAATTATTCAAGAACCCCTGATATTAAAACGGAAAAAATTAATTTCTAAATTCCTGTTTAAGTCCAGGGATCACATACCTTTTTTTCGACACCTGAAAAGTTTTCCTAGGGCTACAAGTATATTTCGAGTACCAATCAAGTACTATGTCAATAACTCCTAGGTC